GAATCCATACAGCAGGCTGGCAATTGCTGCCACCAGAATGAAGTGTTCAATACGATGGTCCAGTCTGGCAAAGACTCTTTCTTTTTCTGAGGTGCAAGTCTGAGGAGCAAAGAGAGGGACAGTGACCAAGGCAGGTGGGACCTCAAGCCCCCACATCCCTACTGATCCTGTGACTTTCTTTTCACAACTCTGATGTCTAGGGGACTCTGAGGCCACATCTCTCTGGAGTTCTCTCCTATCATGTTGGGAGCAGAATGGCAATGAAGGAGACTTTCAGTGGCCTCAATCTGAGCCCCAGTCACTTCTTCCCCAATACCTGTAGGCATGTTTGTTGGTCCCTGAACTCCTCACTGGCATCTACATCTCTCCTCTTTCTAAACTGCCCTCTGTATCTCAGGCTTTGTCATCTGTCCCTATCTATGATGCCTTAGCATTGTGAAGGTCCTCCAGGGAGACCTTCCCTCTTCTGAGCCCTATTCTTCCCTATGCCCCATCTTGATTTTGCTCCCCGAGGAGAACCATAGCCTTTGTCTGTCTTCCCTATATTTGTTTCCTGCCTTCAGACTACGTGGGAGTTAGGTGAGGGAGGGAGACTGCACTGCCCAAACTCTCCCCACTAGGAAGAAAGGAGAGGGAAAGAGGGAGGCAGAAGGAGGAAGGAGGGTAGGAACTCTGGAGAGGCTATTTTCTGCCCTGAACAGACAGATTTGGCCATAAAGAAGGAAGATGAAACCATTCAGGTAACAGACATCTGCCATTGTTCTGACCAGAGACTGCAGGGCACCGAGACCCTCTTTAAGGCACAGAGACCTCCTCTGACAGACAAAACAGGAAAGCAGGCTGTGACTGTCCTGCTTCCCTTCAGGAGCCAGGGGTGACTGCAGAGGGATAAGAGACAATGGACCTGACCAATAGTGTACTGGAAAATGACCCAGTGCAAGTATAGCCATGGGACAGTTTATGAGAGTTTAGCCAGTGTAATGGTGGTCCTGTAAGATTGTAATGAGATGAAAAATTCCTACTGCCTAGAGTCACAGGTGGCACACTGCAGCACAGTGCTTGGTGTGAACTATGGCAGTGCTGCCACTTGTATAAAAGCATAGCCCATAATACTCGATAATGACAAGAAACCACTATGTTAGGTTTGTGTTTTATTATACTATACTTTCAATCATTATTTTGTTATTTTATTTTTGGGGTATAGGGTTTGAACTCAGGGCCTATACTTTGAGCCACTCCATCAGCCTGTTCGTGTTGGGTATTTTCAAGATAGAGTCTTAAGAATTATTTGCCCAGGCTGGCTTTGAACTGTGATCCTTTTGATCTTTTTCTCCTCAGTAGGTAGGATTACAGGCTTGAGTCACAAGTGCCCAGCCTCAATCATTATTTTAGAGCATACCACTACTTATAAAAAACAGTTTTCTGTATAAAACCTGCTTAGATATGCTGGCAGCCTTATACATCTCATGTTTAGCACCTCTCTCTCTCTCTCTCTCTCTCTCTCTCTCTCCCTTGTTCCTTCCCTCCCTCTTTCTCTATCTCCTTTCCCTCCCTTCCTCTCTCTCCCTCTCCCTCTCTACAATGCTACACCCCCAGCCCTAATACATTTTTTGCCTGCACCCTTAGGCCACCTGCGTTGGTGGACCCATAGCATCTAGGTTTGCATAAGTACATTCTATGATCCTCACATGATGAGAAATTGTCTAAAGGCACATTTCTCAAAAACATCCTGTCCTCAAGGATGTATGACTGTGAGAGTTTTCTTACTGGTCAGCACACTGAGCCCAGGAGATGTGGTGGCTGCTGCAGCCATTGTGACATGAATATGGATGTCCCTGGCACAGTTGGGACAGTTCCAAGAGTGCCAATGGGGGGATGGATCCCAGAATCCTAAGAGGTCAGAAGGGAATAAAAACAGCTGGAAGAGATTTGGAGATTTGTAAGAGCAAAGCTGAACCCCCTCCAATGTGCTTTCTAACCAAATCCTAGTGAGTTTTTGGCACAGACTGAACCGATGCTATGAAAATCAAAGACTGAAAATAGCTAAGACAATGTTAAAGAAAAACAGAAGTGGAAGACCCACACTATCAGATCTCAGGGTTTGCTACACAGCAGTCACTAAGCTGTGGTGCTGGGGTAAGAATGGATGAATAGAGCCAAAATGAAGTACAGAAATAAACCCACAGAAACATACTTGGCTTTCAATAAAAGTGCTCACAACTAAAGGGGAGCAAGGGAAGGGTCTTTGAAAAAAAACCCTGAAATACTTAGATATCCATAAGGGAAAATAAAGTAATTGACCTCTACCTCACTCTGTACCAGAAATTAATTTGGAATGGTTCGTGGGCTTAAATTTGAAAGCTAAAATAGTAATAAAACTTCAGGAATAAAACATAGAAGGATGTTTTCACAACCTCAAAGTAGGTAAAAACTGTCTTAGGCAGTTATAAAAGGCATTAGCCACAAGAAAAGAAGTCCACAATTGAAAAACTAGAAAGAGGGGCCCTTGCAGAGCCACAAGAAGGGCGCTGCTTCCAGGGAAGCTGGGAAACCATTGGCTTCTACACAGGAAGCACACTGGGAGCACAGGAAGCCCCACTGGTACTATCAACTGAGCTAAAGAGCTCTCTAGAGATGGATGAGTGACAGAATCATCACCTGACCATATGGAGATTGTTCTCAAGTGCTCCCAGGAAGAGAAGCGCCAAAGGTGGAAAAATCTCAGGGGTTGAAGAGACTGTCAAGAAACTCCCAGAGATGGTGGGAGATCTGAAGCAATAGTGGGGAGACTTGCTGAGTCGGTGGAGGGACTTCCAAATATCAGAGTTCCCTGGTGGGGTCAGCTGAGCTGTTGGATGAAGAACAACAACAAGGTGGGATTAGAAGAGTTGGCTGTGTCTCTGGGTCCAACATCCACATCCTCACCCAAGACCCTATGTCTCAGCCCAGGACTGTCTGTGTCCAGTCAAGACATGCAGGTCCAGGAAACAGCAACAGCAGGGCATCCATGGTGCCACCTGACCATGCCCAACTCTCTGCTCTTGAAAGGCTCTAGATGCTATTGAAAGTCCATGGAGAGTCAGTGTGCCTAGGGCCTCCACTGAAGCCAGAAATGCCATCCCCAGGGAGAGGTCACCAAGCTATCCCAAAGGATTAACTTGTCCCAGCCTAATCTCAGGAAGTGTTGGGTGAAGGCAGCGTGAGTGAGAGTCTGAGTACTCTCCAACCTAGCCCCTGGCTTTTCCTGGATTATCCCTTCCCTGCCTGAGTTGGTCCTTAGCCAGACACTCCTGGAAATGGGGAAGCCCAGATATCCTATCCCAAGGTCTCCACTTACTCCTAGAATTACAACCACTGGTGGGGTCAGGATATAGGGATCCCTCGGGAAAGCAGGATTTGGTTGCCAGGGCTGGGGGTAGGGGTTAAGGTCGTCAGGCCTGAGGATGGTAAACCTGACCTTTAGGAGACTTCAGGGCAAGGTAGGAGGCAGGACACTGAGCCACCTCTCACCTAGATGACTGCAGTTGGCAGTGCTTTCTGTTTCTGTGGCAGAAAGCAGTGCAGACAGTCCTGAGTCACAGAAGCCCAGCACTGGGGCTGAGTCAGCTGCATGGGAATCCAGCACTGTGAAGCTGTCCTAAGACCCATCTATGTCAGATTCTCCACCTATAAGCAGAGGTGGTCTAGGACCTACTGCAAGGGGTTGGTATGAGCCTAGCACATAGCTGTGTCAGTTGTATAAGCTGTGGTCATACAGAAAGAGTGGATACACCAGCTGAGAAAATGCTGGGGTGCTCCACTCTCCTCTTAGGCAGATCCAGAAACCCAGAAACATCTCTCTGTGTCTCCCTTTCTCCTCCTACTTGTACCTTCTGTGTGTGCTGCTTTTTGACCATTTTTCTTCCCACTGAGATCTTCCTGCTCTCCCAAGCAAGTCTGGGAGTCCCTGGATGTCTCCCTTCACCTTTAGGCTGCTGACCATCTCTAGCAGCCTTTTCCTGGTCTTACTACTGGCTTCTCTAACTCCGCCAGTTCTCTCTTTGCCTCCATCCCTCTGTACTCAGTCTGGTTTTGGGCAGAGTGAAGGACGACCTATAGGAAAGAAGCAGGTAGGAAGATTCAGGGCCTTTGCCCTTGTGGATCAGGTGGGCTCACAGGACTGGTCTATTTGGCATGCACCCCTTTATCCCACTTCATGAGTGATGGGTTCTAATCTCTTTGCCACTGACCTGCTGAGTGATCTTAGCAAGTCATTTACCCTCTCTGGACCTGTTTACTAATTTTTAAAAGAATGGTTGAAAGCTAGATGTGCCACAAACTCCCTGTACACATGGGTCCTAGTGCTTGCTTTCCTTGGTTGGGAGTACGTGGGTAATCCCTTTGCATTCCTGTGCAAGGTAGGGTAGATATTGATGAAACTCATGTCTCCCCATGCATATCTAAGACGTGTTAGAGTGACTAAAACAAACCACTCAAACATGGAGATTCCCCATTACCAAAGACTAGGGCACAGGGCACTTGGGCTGGGGAATTAACTTGGCCCAATCCACCCCTCCCTTTTGGGCTCACATTCCTGAGCCATTTGGTGGCAGGAATGATGTCAATTAGCAGCAGTTAATTAATTAATTACTAAAGAGTGCTGAGAAGCCCAGGCTTGGGTGGGGTCGCAGATAGTTGCAGGTGGGTACCTCCTTGGTCCAACTTTCCTCTCCATTTCCCTCTTGGTAGGACCAGGCACCCCCCACCCCTGCCAGGTCAGGAAATTGGGGGGAGGGGGCACAAGCTGAGGGAAGAGGACCGCCCTCTACTTTTGCTAAGAGCCCTGTGAATGGCCCTCTCCAAGGTCCTGGAAACTATACAGGAAGAACTGGAAGATCCAGTTCCCAGATCCCCCTCGCATTTCCCCAAACCACTGCTAAGGACTGAGGGTAAAAAGAGGGCTCCAGGACTTCTTTGGATATCTCCTCTGGCTCCTGCTTTCCAAGAGGTGAGGTGGCCACATGGGGTCCACGCTGCCCCTCTTCTTCCTCCTGGTCTTCCTTGGCAGTTCACAGGCAACAGGTGAGGGCTAGAGGGCAGACATCTGGGTCCTCAAAGCCAGGAGAGGCTGGAGAAGGGGAGGGGACTCCTTGGCCACTGAGAGAGATAGCTCACCCCAGGGCTGAGCTTCCCAGGATCCAGGCTAATCCCTGCTTCTAAGAGGCAATGGGAGGTTGCCAGGGAGGAAGAGGAATCTGTGGGAGTGTGGGGCAGGAGAGCCCCTCACCCCTAAAAGAACACAGCCTTGACTGATGGATTCTGAGCTGCACTTTTGGGTCCCCAGGACCAAGTGTGACTTTGCAAGTGAAGGTGAAAGAGACTTTCAGACCAGGGGTCTCCCATGGCTCCAGCTTCCCGGAATTGCTCAGAAAGGTATTCTCAGGGAGGGGAAAGAATGTGGCTATGTGTTTTCTGGGATCAGTTTCTGCTGGGGGCTGGCTGTCTCAAAGGTAGGACTGGAGCCAACTTATGCCTCATCTTCTAGTCCTTTTTGTTCCTCAGGTCTGCCTCCTCCTCCACCTCCCGCCAGGGACCAAAATTACCCTCCATCATAAAGGACCTTCACACCACCTCATCTGCAAAGCCTAAGAGCAACTGAAGCCCATGTTGGTCAGGGCATTTAGTCGCTGGTGCACCAGGGTCATGCTTGACCCTATCTTCCAGCAGGCCTTCTCCCTGTTGTGTGCTAATAATTGCTGACTCCAGTGCCCTTGACTTAGTGGTTCCATGAGCACAGGGTGGGCAGAAAAAGGGAGCCGGACACCCAAGACTCTGACTCTCCCAGCTACTGAGCACAGGGTTCCGAGATGGACTCTTCCTCAAAACCACAAAGGCCTATAGGGATTCTGGGGAATTAAGTAGCTGCATGAGGGTGGATACACACACACACACACACACACACACGCACACACGCAAACTTCCAGTTGTGTTCTTCAGAACACCTGAGAATAAAAGAGAGTTAACAGGTATGAATTCCTACTTAGTTTCAGCCTGATGTTTTCCCATGTCTATGTTTGTGGCAATCTTGAATGCAGCATAATAGGTATCATTATTGTATCTTACAGATGAGGAAATTGATGCTTAGGGAGGGCAAGTCACTCACCTGAGGTCCAATAACAGCAGGGAGATCAGGCACCAGACAGCTGTCTTGGTTGAAGCAAAGTTTTTATTTCAGTCTCCTCCCTTTGCTTAAGTTTTGGGGCTGGGACTCAGAAAACCCAGACAGGGATGCTGACAGAACACCCCAGGACATTGGGCCCCTAAAGGTGACCAGTATCTTGTCCCTAGCCTACACCAGTGGACAGGTGACACACATGGGTCAGGTGTACAAACCCCAAACCAGCTGGGGAGCTCGATATCTGAGTCCCCAAGAAGCTAGAGAAGACAGAACTGCTCCTCAGCCTGGTTCCTAGCTCCAAGAGCCTGAAATCACCAGCATGTGTTTTCTAAATTCTTTTCTCCAGGAATTGAATTCTCAGATTCAAGACAGAGCAGGGCAGTGAAGAGAAGGCTTTGGGTTTCACTAGAGCTGGGGGTGGCAGAGGCAGCTAACCAGTTCTCTGACAGCCATTCTTATGAAGTCATGTGAATTTTCGCTGGGAACATGGCTCATTATGGTACGCGTTCCAGCCTCCCTTGCAACTAGGTATGGCCATGTGATTAGATTCTGTACAACAGGATGCGAGTGGAAAGGAAGTGTGCAACTTCCTGGTAATATTCTCGAAAAGAATTTCCACATCAGAGGGGAATAATGCCCAGTCCTTAAAACAGCCTACAAGGTCTTAAATAAGCACTTTCCAATAGAACTTTCTGTGATGAAGTAAATGTGATGACCAACATGGTAGCCAATAGCCACATGTGGTTTTAAACACTTGCAATGTGGACAGTCATTGAGGAACTGAATGTTTCATTCTATTTCACTTTAACTGCTTTAGTCAAATGACTATCATTTTATACAACACAGCCCTGAATGGTCCTCCTTGAGCCTTTCCTGCTCCCTGCCACATTCCTCAGCTCCTACTTCACCTCCCACAGCCTCCTTCATTTGCATTCCCTGCACACTTGGCCTCCTTGTGACTCTGAGTATCCTAGACATGTCTCCATCTTAGTTTTGCTCTGGCTCTTCACTTCATCTGGAACACTCTTCTCTCTACATCTACTTGGCTAATTCCTACACCTCCCACAGTCTTTGCTTTAACTTCACCTTTGCAGGATCTACTTTGATCTCCTATTTGATGTTACAATCTGCCCCCCAACACACTCACTCAAGTGCCCTTATCTTGTTTTGGCCTTTTCTCCCCCACAGCATTTCAACTTTCAAACATCCTGTATCATTTACTTATTTGTATATGTTTATTTCTGACTGTCCCTGCTGGGTGTAGTAGACCTTTGCTTCACTCACTGATGAATCCAGTTTTTAAAGTGGTGGCCAGGACATTGTAGGTGCTGAAGAAATACCCATTGAATTCAGGGAAAATGGGAAACTGCCCACCTGCTTCTTTTCCATACGCAGACATATGGTAGGAGCTGGAGCAGATCCGGGACCCAAAGTAGTGAACTGAAATGGCAGGAGAATAACACTAAAAGGGACATGGGCACCATTACTGCAGAGCCTTGCATGCTGATGCCCAGCAAGAGAAACATCCATCTTGTGTAAGCCACCATTTCATCTCAAGTTTGATTACAGCAGCCAGAAAGAAACTGCACCTAACTTATCAGGTTCATTGCTACCTTGTACAACTTCCATTCTCTGAGCACATTTCTTCATCTTCAAAATGGAGCTAACACCCACTCAGGGAGGTTCTAGGTAGGATTAAAAGGCATTTAATGGAGGACCCAGCTCATGACAGGCTCACCATAAATAGCTATTCAGAGGTGCTAGACAGACTTGGGTAATTTGGATGCAGAAGGACCAGGCCTCTGAATTCCACTGAGATGAGACAAGGCGTTTTGGTGGATAGGGTGGCTGGTTGTTCATCCATGAGCATGTAACTCAGTCAGGTACTGAGTGAGTCTCTGGTGGTAGGTTCTCAAGTGCACAGAGTGTAGGGAGCACAAAATTCCCAGCACATGCTGCAGCCCTCAAGCCTAAAGGAAGTCCCTGCTTCTCTCAACACCTCTGGAGACTGGCCAAGGAAGGAAGCTTCCATTTGGTGAGAAATGGAACCCATAGGGCCTGCAGCAGTCAGGGCACTGTAAGTCTGAGAAGCCAGTGGATCCAGGGTCACTGTGCCCATGCCCTACCCCAGTACCAGAAAGCTCCTCCTTCCTCCAGTAAAGCAAATAGGCCAGCACCCACACTCCTCTGCCGCCCAGGGCTGGAAGCTAAGAAGCACCTTCTTCTTACGCCAGATGGGGTTTTCAGGGAACAATGGAAAGGAGGACAAAAAACCCACAAGCAGATGTGTTTGGGATTTTATAAGTTTATCTGAATGAATCTTCTCATTCCCAAACTTGCAGGTAGGACTGCACAAAAGGGAAGCTGGGTGGTAACAGCACACCTTAAGGATGCCTCAGTCCCATGACCAGGCAGGTCTGCTTCCTCATTTACAATTTGAGGAGGACAGATCGTGTAGTCTCTGAAGTCCCATCAGACAGATCAGGGAGGAAAGATGTAAGTTAGAGCTCAGAGCTCCCTGGGGCTGGGAGCCTCATCCATCAGCTGCCGGAGGTGAGAGGCTGCCTGGTCCAGTTTTGACAATTCCAGCTGGAGAGAGGAAAGCTGGATAAGGAGAGAGACAGTAAGGATCCAGGTCTGAGCTCACCCTCCCAGCTCATACTCCCTTAGGGACTCAGGTTTCTTGGGTGGCCTCCCTGAGCCTCACCCTTTGCTGCCTCTGTGTCTCTGCCTCTCCTTCTGATACAGTCTGGGCCATGAGGCCATCAAGCTGCTTCTGCAACTTGAGTCTTCGGGCGGCTAGGCGAGGTAGCTGGGTCTGAGGGTCCACCAGGCCCTGGGGAATAACAGGGAGAGAAGGCTGAGACATCTGCAGCCTGCTTAGCCTTCACTCTCTCTACCCTAAGGCCCACCTTTCCCCACCCTTCCATTTTGCCCAGCATTCTTCTCAATCCCTTCAGTCCCTTCTGGTTACCTGCAGCTCCATGTAGACCTGAATGGTGTCACTGAGTGTGGCCTGAGCCCATCCAGAGGGAGCTACTGCTCCTGGGGGCAGAAGGCTCACTGCTGCACAGTGGCTCAGGGTGCCCAGAGGCTCCAGGAAGACCTGGAAGAGGCCCTGTTCTTCTGGCTCTGAGCTCTGCAGCAACACTAGAGAAGGGAGAGAAGGAGGGAGGGTCAGGGCCTAAGCATCAGCTCCCACCTCACTTCCTATCTGATACCTCCTGACCCTGGGTTCTGCTCTCCCTTGGGGAAGATAGCCAGGTGCCCAGGATCTTACCTCGGGGCCGGGCTTGGGTGAGCTGGTAGGTGGCTCGGAGAGCCCGCAGCACCTGCACAGCCTCCTGGACTTGGGAGAAGTGCTGCTCCAACGCAGGCTGGCGCCAGTGTTCCTGGCAAAGGGAACCCAGATTTTGCAAAGAGGCTCCTGGGAGACTTAGCATCAACTCCCTTGGCTCTGTCCTAGACCCATCAATCCCCATCTTCCTACAGCAACAGATCTTCCTCAACAACACATTAAATGCTTCACCTCTAGGAACAGGGCAACAGGTAAGGAACCATCTAAGAAGGGTTTAGATGACCAGTGACGATGTCTGTTGAGTTGGTCTAACTGAAGATGGACAACCACCACAACTAAATTAGAATTTTAAATACTATTCAAAATTCACAAAACCAATTACGTATCAAAGAAATTTAAATAGTTAAAACTTTAAAATTTTTGGGTGAATTTATAACATTTATCCCTCTGAAGTCTTAAAGTTGCTTTGAGATTTTAGGGACACCCTGTTACTGACTCATCTAATTCTCATCACAACCATGATACACACTACTACTATCCCAAGCTTAAAGGTGGGAGAAACTGAGGCACAATCACATGCTGAGAAGTACCAGTCTACCAAGTACCAATCCTCCTTTGGCCACTATGCTAACACTGCTCACCAAGCCCTAGTTATCTCAGCAACCCTAAGGAACAATCCATCTTCCTCAAGGCTCCAACAGTGAAGTGGGAACCCTTGATGCAGCAGTACCTCACAATAGAGAGCCCTGTTAGAGGCTTCTCCCCCCTTCACCGGAGTCACATTCTAAAGTATGAGTCTATGTGACTCACCAGGCTACGGGCAGTGGGATAGGGAGCAACACAGATGCTGGGGACAGGGGTGCCACCAGGCCTGGGGGGCAGCCTCTGCCAGAGCTCTTCAGCCAGGAAGGGCATCAGCGGTGCGAGGAGACGGAGACCAATATCTGCGCAGGAGAAGAGGACCTGAGGAGGCCCAGGGGGACAGGGCTCCAGGGACAACACTGGTTTCACAGCCTCCTAGGAAGGAAGTCCACAAATCAGAGAATAGGCCACACTTCCTCCGCAGTTGCTCCTATAGCTATGGGGAGTGCTGACGGCAAGCAGGGGCAGTTCCTGGTAGGGAAACAGGGGCAGAAACACTGACCATGTCTGATACCACCAGCTGGCCCCAGACACACACTGGAGAACGTGAAGAGGAGAAATCCAGGGCAGTGATTCCCACAGGTGGGTGAGGAAAGATTCCCAGGGGGATGTGCAGTTCAGAAAAAAGTCAGTTTTTTACTCATCAGAACAGGACAAAAGTTTTTTAATAAGGCTGAGAAACTGTGAGCGAGGGTGTGGTCAGCGGTGGGACCATCAACACCACCTGGGATATGAAATGCACATTCTGAACACCCCATCCTGCCTGATCTGCTGAAGGACCTACACTGGGGGTAGCCAAGCAATCACGGTTGACAAACCCTCAAGCAACTCTAATGTGGAACATGGCCTAACAGCCACCACACTCTCCTCCATGTCCCCTCATAGTACCTGACTACCCAGTCTAAACATAGCCCAGGAGGACTGAAAAAGTCCACTCTGTCTTCCAACCCTGTGAGGTTGTTTTCTAAAAGTCTCCCCTCTTCCTTCTTTCTCACCTGGTGACAGGCAGACAACACTGCCTGGCTGCGCTAAGACACTAGTCCCAGGGAAGGGGAACTGGAACTTCCACACACTTTCCTTTCCTCATTGAGGGGACAATGAGGAATCACTAACTCCACAGCTCTCAGCCATGGCCATTTTCAGGAGGAACTAGCAGCAAGCTGAAGGAGAAAGTGCAGGATCTCGCCCCACTGCTTACCAGGTAGATGTCACAGAGGTTATGGAGCCAGAAGTGGTGAAGTGCGTGAGTGACTATCGAGAGCTCCTGGGTGAGGAAGCCACGCTCACACTCACAGGCAGCAAGGGCCAGGCGGCTCAGGATCCAGGCATCCATGGGGGAGGAGGGAGATAGCTATGGGTTGGGGTGGAGGTAATGTCAGAACCCAGAGTGCTAGACCCCCACTCCCTGCCTCCTCTCCTTCCAGGTGACCCTTTTTCTCAGACATGTAATCACTCCACTCCAAGCATGACTGCTTTCTCTCTTTCACCTCCTCTGCAGACTGGGGTACAAAATTCTCCCCTAGAGCATGGAGGATAAAGCGCAGGGCATTCCAGATCTTGTTGCAGAAATGGCGGCAGCTCAGGACCTCAGAGACAGACAGGTGCAGGTCGTCTCCTGGAAGGGAGAGAATTGGTGAGTCTGCACCTGGATCGCAGCATCTTAGGAAGTCCTCCATCCTGCTCAGGTGCCCTCGGCAATCTGCTCACCCCTAAGCTTACCAAGGACTCCACGGGAGCACAGTGTGAATCTCAGGGCATCTGTCCCACACTCAGGGATCCCATGAGGAAAGTCTTTTTTCTACAGAGGAAGAAGAGCATGGCAGACACCAACTGGGCTGCAGGGCAGAAGCCTGGGTTGCAGAAACCAGTGGCCCAACCTAGAGGCCTGCACCAGGCAGACATGGAGTCTCACCTGTGCTGCAGCTGCAATGGCCAGCTCTGCAGGGTCCAGGTTCCCATCTCTTAGCTTGGCCTGAAGCACCTGGGGATGGGTAAGGAAGTCAATGGCCTAGGTTGCAAAACCACCCCTACAAGGGTCATGCCTGCTGTCCCTCATCCCTGTCTCTCCTTGGACACCTTCATCTCTCCAGCCGGGCCCTACATCCTTACTTGCAGCTTCACTCCACTGATGATGTCCCGTGGGTCCAGCACATTCCCCAGGGATTTACTCATCTTCCGGCCCTGCCTGTCCCGAACCATGGAATGAAGGAGCACCTGGGGACATAAAGGGGGTCAGCTTGGACCTGTAGACTCTATACTTTAGGGGTCAGGGTAAGAAGTGAATCAAGAAAATGGGAACACAGAAAATATCACACTATGGACCAGAAGAACGGAGGGCAGAAAAATGGAATTCACAGAAAGAGGCAGGGAATAAGACGTTATTACCTTGCTGAAGGGGAGCTGACCAGTGAGCTGGGTCCCCAACATGACCATTCGGCCCACCCAGAACAGTAGGAGGTCACTGCCTGTTTCCAAAAGTGACAGAGGGTAGAAACGAGCAAGGTCTGGGGTCTAGGAGGAAGAGATAAGCAATTACAGGTCCAAGTCCCCCACCCCACTGTCCACCTTGACTCTGCAGGGCCCAGCCGTCCACCTTCTTCATCGTGCCCACCTTCACTCTCTCCCTCTCAACCCACCTCACCTCGTGGGGCCAGCCCAGGGCAGAAAAGGGAAAAAGAGCTGAAGAGAACCAAGTATCCAGGACATCAGGGTCTGGGAAACAGAACAGGAATTGGGGACAGGTAGAACCTTGGTGTGTATCACCTCAGACCACTGCTGCCCACCTTCCAGGCCAACCTCCCCTTCAGAGACTAGGGGGTTCACCTTCTGTCCATTCCCACTTTGTCCACTCCCACCTGCTCCCCTCAAAGACCCAGTCATGCCCCTTCCCCATTTTTCCTCTCTCCTTCCCAGCTCGGCACTCACCCCTCTCTAAGGTCAGCTCGGCCTCTGGACTTCCTGTCAGTTTTGCTGCTACCTCTCTGGCCTCGGCTTCTGACCGCCCAACCACCCAGCATTCTTCTCTGTCATCCTGCAAAAGTAAGAGGTATGGGAGAGTGAGGAAGGGTAACAAGGGGTAGGTGTAAAACTTAGTTCCCTTCTTTGATCACAGAGTAACAGCTCCCTCTGGGGGCGAAACTGGAGCTCAAGGAACCTTGGTCACGCAGTAGCCTCCATGACCAAAACCATGAAGCATTTAGTGGCAGGAACTGGCACTGGCGCTGCTCTGACTCCTGGCTAAGGCTTGTTCCACCACACCCAGCCTCCTCACACCAACCTTTTCTTGCCCCTCCATAACCAGGTAGGCTGGAATCCGATGGCCCCACCACAGCTGCCGGGAGACACACCAGTCCCTGCCAAAAGAAAGAAGACATCAATGGCACCTCAGCGTGACCAGTGGGTCCCCCTCCCTATCTTCACAAGAGCTCCTCTCACCCTTACCCAATGTGAGCAAACCAGTGACGCCAGTTCTTCTGGTGGAAGGAGGGACAGAGCTCCAGGGCACCAGACTGCACAGCCTGGAGGGAAACGAGATGTTAAGCAATGCTTCCCTTCCTGCCCACCCAACCTCTGGGTGGGAAAAGTGGCCTCTGAGGTAGTTTTATAACTCAGAAAAGACCTCACAAGCCTCCCAAAAAAAGATTCTGGGCCTGAGCAAAGTACAAGCCAGCCTTCTCTGACTGGCTTGCCTTGCACACGACAGTCCCCTTTGTACCACAGCTACAAAGTCTTTGTAGCAGAAGGTCTCCCATTCCCATTTCTTCATCTCAATTCTTAGGAGTTTCTCTACTCCCAGGCCCAAACCTTCCTCAAACTGTGGCCTCACCTTGGCAGCTCGATCCCCCATTTCCTGGCAGCGGACAAACCACTGGCTCTTCAGTAGATATTCTATCACGTCCCCAGAACGGCTGGAAGGGAGGCAGGGTGAGTTCAGTCTTCTGATCCTCAGGCTCTGTGCCTTTTCCCAGGGACACAGGGCCCTCAGTACTGAGGAACAGCCATGAATATAACTAACACAAAACCTGTTTTTTAATACAGGGAGTGCACAGCCTATCCTGCTGTCACTCTTAAGCATCATTCATTCCCTTTTGGGGTGGCCCTTAGTAAAGGAGTTAAAATGGGGCTACCTGCAGAAAGGCAGTACCATGGAGTGGTCCTGAAGGCCCCGGATCTGGCCCCGTTCGCTCAGTGCACACATAATCTTTTCCCTGGCCACAAATCGGTGAAGACCCTGGGGAAAAAGTGGTGTTAGGAAAGATTAAAGGCCCCTTAAGAAACAAGAAGGAGGGAGGCAGACAAGGGGTGCCTGCAGAGGATGGGGTAATACCAAGGTGGTCCCACCTGCAGCCATTCCCCACAAAGAGAGGTCATGGTCCCATCCTCCGCAATGACACTCAGGGGACTCAAGCCATGTCGGGCTCCCATCTCAGCATCAGTGGGACTATGAGCTGGAGTCACTTTCACTGCACCTGGGGGCACACAACTGCAGTGAACGTTGACCCTGACCTTTGCCTTGGCCATGAGTTTCACCCACGCCTCCCTACCCCTCCCCTGCCTACCTCCCTTTTGTTCTCACTACCAATTCTGATCTCTGATTTCCCACCCCTACTTTCCTCCTCTTCTTGGTTCCCTCCTCTCTCCCACCGAGCCCCCAACCCTTGCCTCCTTCTCTAACCTCTGACTTCTACTTACCTGTGCCTACATGTGCCTGAACAGCAGTGTCTGTGATGAGGGGGAGAAGCTGCCCTGTCAAGGGATGACGAAGCTGTCGCCCGTGTAGATGCTGAAGGGAAAGGAGAAAAATCAGGGACAGGCACATGTCCGGGGTGGAAAGTCCTGAGGTCTGAGAACCCCAGGGATAGAAACTGGAAAATAAAAAGCTAATGCAAGGTCAGCTTCTTTTTCAGGGCCCAGAGAGCAAATATCTCAGGTTTTTGAGCCAAGAAGTAAATTCAGTCTCTGAAAAACCCCTCAAACTGGCCACTGTGTCATAGTTAACATCAGCCATAGATAATACAAAAAGAAATGAGTGTGGCTCATATAAAACTAAGCAGCAGCTGGATTTGGTCCAAGAGCCATGGATGGCCAACCCCTGAGCTAAAGAAAAATCACAATTATCAAGAAAAGAGCAGAGTCAGAGACACTACAGAGCTGAGATGAGAAAATTCTTAGAAAAGAAAGGAACTGAAGGGGAGCCAGCATCTTGAAGAAAGAATAGACCATGGGGGCAGGAAGGTCATGTGTAGGCACTAAACTGTGTATTCCTTACCGTATATCTGGAGTCTTCAGGGTGAACAGCCACAGCCACATCTCCAGGCAAAGTCTCTGGCCTTGTGGTTCCCACCACAACCTCTGTATCTGAAGATGAACATTTAAACACTTACAGCTGGTCATCACCCTCACCTCTCACCCTGACACAGCTAAAACCAGCAGAACTAGGAGAAGGAAGGGCAGGGAACAATCAAGGTGGTACAGGTCCCCAAGAACAACTAGGAAAATTAAAAGCCATGTTTATAGGAGCCCAAGTTTCCTCGGCCAAGAGAGGGTGTGGGTGCAAAGAATACTTTGCATGGAAGAAGCAGGGGTCATATTAACAAAAGCAGCTAGAATCCTGCTGGGTGCCCAGATATTTGGGATTCTCAGTCCTAATCACAAATGCTGTGCACTCTTCAAGACACTGAAAACACTTCCTTGGACTAGTCCTATCTTATCACTTCCCCTTCTCTGAATTCTTGAGAACACTTATACAAACCACACTTTAGAACTGATCTTCTGTCTCTTTCCTGAGTACCAGACTCCTGCAGAATTACACAAACCTCCCAAAGAACATGATCTTGTATGCTCCTCTTACACCCCCTGTATATCCACAGTAAAGTAGCCTTTGGAGGACTACACTCACCAGGCTCTCCATCCACAGGAAAAGCAACAGAAACAAGGAGGCCAAAAGACACAGGGGTGAGGCAACCAGGCAGCCAGAGCTCCGTACGGCCAGGCAGGGGCCGATTCTCCACCTGGAGGTTCGAAGAGGTCAGGTCAGACAACAGCCTTTCTATACAGCTTACACCCAGGATTTCTACCACCACACACTGTGTACCCTGGCTTCTCTACAATCCATCTAAATCCCATTCAGAGGACTCAGGAGCCCCCTCTCTTCCCCTCATCCAATTTTTGTGCAGTCACAGTTACAGTACATATTCATCGAACAGAGCCATGGTGAACCATTGCCTTGAGCACCTTACACAAATTCTCATTTACGTTTTTTTTTGGCAGTACTAGGGTTTGAACTCAGAGCTTCACACTTGCTAGGCAGGCACTCTTACGGCTTGAGCCACTCCACCAGCTCTTTTTTGTGATAGGTTTTTTTGAGATAGGGTCTAGTGAACTATTTTCCCAGGCTGACCTCAAGCTGCCATTCTCCTGATCTCTACCTCCTGAGTAGCTAAGATTACAAGCATGAGCCACCAGCACCGGGCCTCATTTAGTTTTTAGAACACCCCCACAAGCCAGGCATTCCAACATCTCTGACAGTTGAGGAAGCTAAGACTTACAGAGCCTAAAGCCTGAGGAAAGTCACCCCGCTGCTGAGATAGCACTCACATTTGAATCCAAGCAGTCTGGCTCCAGACTCTGAGCTCCTAAGCACCTGAGCTCTTACATATCTGCTTCTCTACCTTGGGCTCACCTCAATATCCGAGACAGCTGATCGCAAAGCACAGGACCAGTTGACAAGCTGACGGTTCCGGTACAACAACCCCGCATTGTAGAGTCGCACAAAAGCTTCAGTTACAGCCACTGAGGAGCCCTAGAATGACCTGTGTCCACATCTAACAGCCCCTTCTCAACTGAACCTACTCCCCTTCAGTGACACAGTCATTCCCCCTTTCTTTCCCAACTTGTCCAACAAGCCCACTCCCACACAGGTCTCTAAACACCCTCTCCCCAGCATTCACAGGGACCGTGACACATAACACTCACAGCATCCATAGTAAAACACTCTCGATCCCAGTCCAGGGAGGCTCCCAGAGCACGCAGCTGCTCACAGATCTCTCCTCCTTTCCTGCACCCAGAGACTCTGTCAGCAAACATGTCCCAAGTACCTCCCAGGTATCAAGCCCAGTGATGCCCCAAGCAATACCAGGTGCTGAGGAAAATGCAAATGCATTGCCACTGATCCAGCCTCTAGAAGCTGATGGAGACCCAAAACCCCAGTGTGGGGATTTCTATGATATTAAAAGAGGCAGAAGGAGAGGCAGTCACTTTGTAGAAAGCCCAAAAAAGACATACAGAAATGACAGCATGAGATAACAGACCTTTAAGAATGAGGGTAATTTTATGGGAACTAGAAGGTAGAAACAGGTAAGTGGGAGAAGTAATGAAATCTAGGAAGAGGAAAATGGGATAAGTATACATATATGCACATATACACAGACACGTACTTCTTAATGTATATATAGTATATACACAAGCACACATAAAGCTTGGACATGCCACAAAATGCTAAAGGATCCCAGAGTTTCTGTCTCTGAGGAAGTTAGGGCTGTGGAGGGAAGAACTGAGGGCTACAAGTTAGGAGAAGAAGTGGTGGGAAGCAAGGACTTTTTTTTTTTTTTTTTGCGGTACTGGGGCTTGAACTCAGGGCCTACACCTTGAGCCACTCCACCAGCCCTTTTTTGTGATTTTCTTTTTCCAAGATAGGGTCTTGCAAACTATTTGCCAGAGCTGGCTTTGAGCCACAATCCTTCTGATCTCTGCCTTCTGAGTAGCTAGGATTATAGGCGTGAGCCACCAGTGCCTGACAAGCAAGGTCTCTTCTTTCTGGGTAGCCCTTGAGGCCATTCCCATTATACTCACACCTCCTTCCACTGCCACACCTCCCTCAGAAAGTCCTCCCGTCCCAGGTCGTGCCTCCTCACTCCCCGCTCCTTCCACAGTTGTTTCTCCACCACAGCCTGCAGTAGTATTTAAGGGCAAATGAACAGTGTGTCAGTTCCCTTTGGGAGAAGACAACAGCTTTCAACCAAGACAAAAAATGTGACCAAAGACCTACTTGTGTAGCAATTCCTGCGTGATCTGAACCAGGGACCCACAGCACCTGATCCCCACGCATCCTGTGCCTACAACAGAAACACCCTCAAGGGAGCCCTTGGGCTCACCTGCTTATGTTCACTCATTCCCACCCTTCCTCCTTCCCTTGAGGCAGCCCCCATTCCCCTCTCACCAGCGCACAAGGGCATCCTGTATGGCCACTGTGAGTGCATGGCCAATGTGCAGGGAGCCAGTGACATTAGGAGGTGGGATACACATGGAAAAAGTTTCCCCTGTAGCCTGGGGCAGCCGAGCCTAGGAGGAGGAAAGTCAAAGGGCAAGAGAGGACTGGCTGTTACCCAGAGGAACAGCACCCTCTGGTGCCTCCAAGGCATAAAGAACTTCAGAAAAACCTTTGCAGAAGCTAGAGGCCAAAAGTAAACAAGCTCTGCAACGTGAGCTGAACTCTGAAGCTCACCTGTGCCCATCAACTTCAAGGGCCACTCTTTACTAACCTGATATTCTGGTTTGAAGAAGCCCTCTCGCACCCACCACGGGTACCAGGCAGCCTCAACATATCGGGGGCTGTAAGCAGGAGGCAGGGGTCCAGAGACATCTGTGAAGCAGAAGGGAGCTCCACTAACTTTTGAACTTTGTTCCAAGCTGCATTTCAGCAGATCAAAGGGGCAACAAAAGTAGGAAAGGAGTAGCCAAGTGTGGTATTACATGCCTGTAATCCCAGGATTCTCTTGGGAGGAAGATACAGGAGGATCATGAGTTTGAGGCCAGCTTGGGTTATATAGGGATACCACCCTAGGCAGCCTAGCTAGACCGTTTTTATTTTTTAGGGGAAAAAAAGGGGCCTTCAGGTTCCCTAGTTACCTTTCTTTTCACCAGGTTCTGTTGGGATTTCATACAATACTATCTCCTTAGGGCTCCAGGCCTTACTGGGTTCTGCAAGTGACTGAGAAAAAGGAACAGAAGGGGAGTCATGCACTTCCCAGTATATTACAGCATCTAGACCCCTGCCCAAGTGTCTCAGAGGCCCAAGAACGAACTGATCCCTGACCTTGTTCTTCCCAGTTATCCCAGCCTCCAGCGCTGCCTGCTTCTCCAGTAGGCGCTTCTGCTTAGCTTCACGGTTCCTCCGAGAGATGGAAGATCCATGTGTAGAAAGGGGACGGGGCCTGGGGAGGCCCTGTGAGAGCCTCAGCCCACAAAGTGGTGGCCGAAAAGAGGACAGAGGCAAATGAGGCATCAGGAGTGTTTGAGAAGAGACCAGGATCTGCTCCAGATAGACAGCACATTAGGTAAGGCGGGGGGTGGGGGGGGCGGGGGCGGGGGACGGGACGGGGAGCACAATCCCCTAAAGTCATTCTTTTTCTGGCCTCTTACTAGCAGGGGTCTCATCCTAGCTCCTTCCCCATAACCATTCTTTTCTGTGGGCTGGAATGCAGTGACCCTGGAATCATGGAGACCAGGGCGCTTCTGGAGCTGAGTAGGAGGCTCTGCCCCTCAACCCATGCATCTGCGACATGGCTGACAGCAACCACAAGGACGGGAGAGGGCTTAGGAGAGGTTTCAGGGAGGGGGGATGTTGGACATCAGTGTACGTAAGTGCAGGCACGGAGCCCTGGAGCCGCCCGCAGTGCCCCTGGCCCACACGGCCCGGCCTTCCCGCCTGTCGCACCACGTGCGCCTGGGCCCGCAGCGCCTGCCACCTCCCCCGAAGACCACCGGGTGCACGCTCACCCCGCTACCCCGCCGCTATCCAGCGCGCCCCGCGGCAGCAGGGGCTGCGGAGACCCGCGCTTTCGACCCCAGGACGTGGCCGGAGATCCGCGCACGCGTAGAGGCGGAGCATCACCCGGCGCGTGCGCAGTAGCTCCCCGCCCCCAACTCCCGGGACAAATGGCCGCCCGCGCGGAGAGGGCCCAGTCGTTGACGGGGAAAGCCCACGGGAAGGCTTCCAGGGCCGCATGGCTCACTTCCAAAACTTTATTAAACAAGAAACGTCCCGGCGAGTAAATAAAAAACACCTGAGTTGTGAGGCCGCCGCGCGGCCAGCTCGCCCTCCCGCCCGCCAGGGTCTGGTATCCTGTATCCTCCAGCACTCAGGAGCTGTGCTTCTGCCGCTTCCAGAAGCGCTTGACGTCGCTGTGCCCGGCCGGGGTCACCACCATGAGCCGCTTGGCCGAGTTCTCGAACACGAGCACGCCCAGCTCCCGCGCGTGGGCCAGCAGCAGCTCAAAGTCCACTTGCGATAGGAACTGGTTGTACAGGACGCCTGGGTTTGGGCGGGCAGGGAGAAGGAGACGGGAGGCCTGAGCACTTGTCTCTCAGCCCCTTCACAGCCCACCATGGTTTTAAAAACTAATTATGCTTATCTGCTCGGAGCTCATCTTAACACTACAGTGATCCAGACGTTCAAAAAGGCAATATAGTACCATAAGAAAACCCATAAATACAAAAAGGCAATATAGTACCATAAGAAAACCCATAAATACTCAGCGGGCCCAGGGAAATTACAGAATTATCCCTCCCACTTTCCCTCTCCTAGCTATAGCCAAACTGCACTGTTCGGGGACAATTCATTTACTATTACCAACTCACCCCAAAATAAAGTGTCTTGCTAGATTTTCTCTCCCCTTTCATGCAGTAAACAAAAAATGAAATGCACAGAAAACTTTTCAGCTCATCAAGACTGAACTACATGCCCTTCTTATGGCTAACGACCACTCACCCTCTGTGAACCGGAGTCTGTCCCTTTCCAGCTCCCACAGCCGAATCTGGTCCGTGATGGTGGGAGGCAGCACAGGGGTCTGCAGGGGCAAGGGTGGGTGTAGGGGCTCAGGAACACTGTCCCAGACAACCCTAACCCTCCATTCATTCCCTGGGTTTGGATCCCCATTTTTCTCTTCCATCATCTCATCACTAGGTGCCAGGGGCTGCCAGCCTCCAGCATCTCGGTACCTCTCCGCACCTGTTTCAGCATCACTGGGTGAGCCCTTGTTCTTAAGAAATGGATTATCTAGGGAAACAGACAAGAATGCCATGAGGGCTCAGCAAGAAGGCAGGAAAACCATCTGAGCTGTCACCTAATGTCATTAAAACAGCAACTTACTGTTTAAAATTTCATAGCCTCCCCTCATCAACTCAACCCACCCCTGTTAAGCTGTTTTCCCAAATTGCTCCTTCCATTAGTCATGTCTGTTATTCCTTTTCTGGCACTTCTGCTCTTTCCATAGTCTTGTTTTGTTTTCTTTCTTTAAAATAGCAGCCGTTAATATATCGTGGCAGGCTCTGAGCTAAAAGCTTTACCTCTAGTGTTCCATTGAGTCCTCCCAAGAACCCTGTGAGGTGAGAACTGTCATTTATCATGAGGAAACCAAGACTCAAAGAGGTAAAGCAACAAGGTCCAGTTTATCAAGACAGGAATGATGAAGCTGAGACACAAATCCAGTTACATCTCCTCCCTTCATGTTTTCCCACTCAAGGGGGTCTGCCAATTTCCCCATCTAAAGTCTTAATTTCTCTTCATGTGCAGAGTGCTCACAAACAACTCACCACCACTACTGTGATAGACCTGAGGCTAGCCTTCCATAACAGGACTACCCAAGTGCAGCACATGTTCCCACCTCCACCTTCAAGTAGTGATACCTGCTGAGCTGTGATGCCACTGGCAATGGCCTGCTGCACACTCTCCCGGGTCACTTGTGCCACTACCATGTTGGGGAAGCGATAGAGCATCTCAGAGAAGAGGGCGATGAGGGCAATCTGCAGCTCTGACTCTAATGCAGGGATAGAGAGAGGACAGAAGGCTACCCCTCTACCCAGACTCCCCTGAGCCCTTCATAGGAGCTCTGTAAACTGCTAGATAGTGATGAACATTAACTGCCCTTCCCTCCTGCTTCCTTCCCCTCCCCACACTTGCCCCAGTCTGCTTTCCCAGGAGCCTATGTCCAGCCTCACCCGTGTAGGCATACAGTCGGTAGTTGGTTTCCACGACAATGAAGCCTGGTTGATGCACAGTACCCCCAGCCCCAGAGACACCAGATGAGAGATTGATGGCCAGGCGTGTGGGGTAGTAACGCCGAGATTTCCTCTGGGAAGGACAGAAGTGAAAGACAGAGGGCCTCTCAGGAGTCACCACCCTCCATCTTCCTGCCTGGGACATCAGATCCCTCCTAGTGCACAGAACTTCAACTCCCAACTTCCTCCCCGCAAGGAACCCACGTATTCAGTCCTGGAAACTGCTTCCTGCTACTGCTGAGATCCCTCTTCCCTAGAAGCCATGCATCTGAGTGTTCATACCTTTCTCTGGAAAACAAGCCCAAACTCACGCAGATGTTGCAGGAAGTTCAACAGAGAATCACTCATCCCTTCCACAGAGTAATCCTGAGGAAGAGGTAAACCCAGCTGGGGTCCAAAACACATTCTATCCTTCTCCCAGCTCCTTACACTCATTCCCTCCATCCCCTTCTCTGGTCATTCTCTGTTCACTTTTATTTCCTCACTCTACTGCCCCACAACCTTATTCCCCTTCTCATCTTCCTGTCTTCCAGCCCCCTACTTACCTTGCCCAGAGTAGAGAAACTGAGCTGGAAGAGGAAGGAGAGAATCTCTACCAGATCCATTCCCCGACTCTGGGGAGAAAGGGACAAAAAAAAAAGAGAGATGGGTGGGGGAAATGAAAGAGAGGCACAAGGAAGAGTCAGGGAACAGTCTGTGGGTGGCTGTCTCAGCGTGGGACCTGAGAAGAGCAGGGAATGCTGGCCCTGATCCTCTCACCTGGGCTGTCTGTAGATACTGCAGCATAAAGTACCAGAGCTGGGCAGGGGTGTCCAGCAACAGGAACTGGAAGCCAGCAGAAGTAATACAGGGCGGCTCTCCAGGTTCAGTACTAGAAACAGAGAAGGACAGTCATGGAGATAGGCAGAAAAAGTTTACCCTCCCCACGTGTCCTCTCACACTTTTTATGCATATCTCCGGCTGCACACTACTTGGACCTCCTTTTTCAGTCAACACCTTACTTTCCCCAGACACTCAGTCTGTCTGGCACCCAAGAAGATAGCCAAGGAGGTTGCTACTAAGGCTCAGGCTTCCTCACCTCTTCATGAGCCCAGCCTGGCTAAGGAGCTGAGCCAAGTCTTGGCTGACAGCTGCACTGGGGGAACCCACCATGAAGTGCAAGACCACCTACAAACAGAAAAGAACAAAAACACTGAGGCCTTTCAGAACCACAGGAAATAGGAGCATAGCAGAGACACGCACAGAAGCCTAAGTCCTCACCTCCCATCGCTCCTCGGCGTACTTGTCAAGTGAGGGAACGTCCCGAGCATGCTTGTCTGGTCCCAGCTGACTTGTATCATCAGACCAGGCCTTCCCCCTATGGCCAGGGTGAGCCAGGAATAAGAAGCCCTAGCTCTGTTTCCTGCTGCCTGTTGCCCTTTCCCACCCTTGCCCCATGTGGTCCATGAAAGGGGCACATTTCCTTCACCCTGTAGCCATATCTGGCCCAACTTATCCCTGAAGGAGCTCCCCTTCCATTAGCGTCATTAGCAGTTCCTCTGGCCTAGCTTAGAAGAGATGGAAACAACATACCCACCCAGAAGGGCAATGCGGAGGTTCTGGCGGAAGATGGGGTTGAGGATGAGGCCCTGGAGACCACCAGGAAGCAGTTGGGTGTGCCAGATACGGAGGCCACTCAGAAGCCCTGTACTTTCCTCCTGAGCCCTGGAACAGAAGCAGAGAGGTGAGTGGGAAGCCTGGAAAACAAAAAGAAGGAGACACATAGAGGCCTCCATTTTTGCTTTTTGTGAATTGGTGATAATTGGAACACTGCTCCAGACTGAAATTGTATCTTTTTAAGATAAATATTTTTACTGCAATGTCTAGCAGAGCCTTATTATAGACATCACAACTCTCTAAAGAGGAAAAATGCAGTAAAGAGTTTTCAAACTTACTTAATTACAAATTTTGTGGTATATTCACTAATATTTCCTGGAAGGAAGGGCTGGTGGTATAACTCAATGGTAGAACACATGCAAAGCATGTACTGAAAGATCCTGGGTTTGATTCCCAGAATAAGATAAATAGATATCCTGCAAGTGTTCCAAGAAACAACAGTTTGGGAAATCTAGCTGTTGAGAAGTTTGTATCTGACTGAGAATGCAGTAGAGACTCACTTGCTGAATTCCTTCTTCACCCATAAGGCTACAGCAGCCTGTGGCAAAGGCTGCTCCAGAAAGAGCATCCGCATCACCCAGTTCTTAGCCAAAGATGGAAGCTCCCTGTAGGGGTTAGAAGCCAAATGTTAATGCTAATATCAGAAGCTGCCTCATACTTGCATCTCTGCCTTCATCTGCCTCTCAAACATCTTACCTCATCCCACACACCTTTACCACTCCCGCTGCCCCCAAGCTCCATCTGTTTTGTCCTGCCACACTCTGAGTAAACTCCAACACCCCTGTACCTCTTGGGCTGCTGAACTCCTACTCCTGATAACTGATTGCAGTGTGTAGGCCCCATTACATTTCCCCACCAGGTCCCTGCTGTGAAGAAGGCTCCTCACCTGAAGACAGCCAGACAAGTGGCAGGGTGTCCATACAATCGGTCCAATATGCCAGGACTCAGGCCCCCTAAGAATTCCTGTAGATTCCTGCATTGTAGGTGCACTCGGTTCAGCCCACCCCTTACAGGGCTGCTCTCCATCACCTGAGAGATGCAACTGTTATAAGCACATCCCCCATGATCCATCTCACTCTGATTCCAGATCCATCAGCTCCACAATTATCCCATCTTTTCTGTAATTTCCTCTCCTGTGTCATTCATCGCCTCTTTATTTCTCCCAAACCTCACCAACCCCCTCTC